ATGTGTGGATATAACACGGCACTGGCGGTGCGTGCTGTGTGCTGCGCTGTCGCGTCCGCCAAGCACGGACCCACGCACCATCAGCGCCAGGGGCGCGACGGCTAGTTTTTGAAGGGTAGGGCTTCGTGAGCACGGAATACAGTCCCGCCGCTGCCGCCCATGAAGATTCAAATTTGCTTCACCATCATTTACATGCAAGGGAGCTGCCCACATGAAGAATGCTCCCAGCAAGCCAGTGGATGGAACTGTCCGTACTATGATGAATATTGCGAAAGAGAGGGGGAGAAGGGCGTCACCAAGGCTAACATATCACTTACAGTTGTCAGAATGTTCGTTCATGGGGTGTAGTCTGTCGACAGCGGTGTCCATGTATGCCCCACAGCTGCTATCACGGCTAGCTGTGTAAGTAGTAGACTACTACCGAAGGATCTTCCCTTCTAAGCGATGGCAACGCAATTTGTTGCCTTTCACGGCCCACAGACCTGCGTTACAACCCAGGCAGCGTTGACACCCTGGCAGGGTTCCTGCCCGTGGACCTTCTGGGGACCGAATACCTTGGCAGGGTGTCACAGCGTCCGTACAGGGTCTAATTGCCCGCAAGGTCCGCACAGGGTGAGGCAAATGGCTACGGGTGATGGTGACTCGTGGGACGGGTTGAACCATTTTTTTCCAAGACAGTGACTTCGCCGGTGACTCCCACCACGGGTTGGGCCTTTTTTTTTTCAAGACAAGTGACTTCGCTGGTGACTCCCACCACGGGTTGGACCATTTTTCCAAGACAGTGACTTCGCTGGTGACTCCCACCACGGGTTGACCATTTTTTTGACATCCGGGTGCGACCATTTTCCCGCGGTTCGACTATCTTCTTTCTTCTTGGTCGGACCATATCTTCCCGAGACAGTGACTTCGCCATTTTTTATCCAAGACAGTTGACCCCGCTGGTGACCCCAACCACGAATTCCACGATTTGGTTCTTCGGCACGACCTCACCATTGTTTCTTGCATCCAGAAAGTAAACGGCAGAGCAGCAAGCAGGGAGGATGGTAGCTACTTTTTGTTGTCATTGGCTTCGTGTGTCCGGTCCCTGGGGTCAGGGGTACCGCGTGCGTGATCGACGAAGGAGAGTAGACGTGACGGGGTCGGAGTCATGGTAGGAATCAACTGGTCCGCGCGAAAATGACTGAACCCGGGAATGGTGTCAGGGCACGCACTTCCCAGACTTGGATTTTTCCACACGATTTTCGCAACCTTCCATATTTATTCTTGCTTGAAAGCTTGGCTGGCACGCACCTTCCAGACTTGGATATTTAAAACCATTTTTGTAACCATAAATATTGGCCGGGATTTCTTAGTTGAAATGTAGGCTGGCACGCACCTTCCAGACTTGGATATTTTAAACCAATTTTCGCAATCATAATATATTTGCCGGGACTTCGTGGTTGAATGCCACGCACTTCCCAGACTTAGACATTTTAAATGCATTTTCGCAACCATAAATATTTGCCGGGACTTCGTGGTTGAAGTGTTGGCTGGCACGCACCTCCCACACTTGGACTTTTCAAAACCATTTCCACACATCGGAAGCGTATGTGACCCGAAAAGTAGTCCCTGCTTTCGTGTATCCATGGTCTCTTATCTCGACGCGGCAGATGCAAAAAAACACATCCCAAAAGCATGGTAAGTTCGACTGTTTTCCCCCGAACAGTGACCGGGAATACACGTGCATGTGAGCCAGGTAGTTCAAAATTATCGACTTGGTCAAGTCGATACTTTTTCGTGTGCGTTCTATCCCGAGCGCATTTACCAGGGGAAAGTCATCAGATTTGTCACCCTTTTTCGAGGACAAACGTATCGACTTGAGGCTCCGCGCGCGCTCGAGCATCGACCCAAATGGAAAGCTTTCTTTTTTTTTGAAAACAGAAGTGCTTTCGGCTGGGCTAAAAGTTTGGCCCATCCCAGCAAGTGCGAATATGCTTTATTTTGGGCGTTGGGTGTTGGAGTGGGCGCCGAAGTCATGTACTAATGCAGGTGAAGTGGTCGGCAGTCGGTTCAGGTTGTGCTCTTTGTTGGTAGCCTCTAGCTACAAACCGAACAAGATACAACCCCGATCCACCCCATTGTTCGCTGACGTTCGTGAACGCAAGGTCGCCTGGCGCTAGGTCAACAACCGCTTCCGCTACTTGCCGTTCGCTCCCTATAAACAGCGTCTGAACCAGGACAACCCGTAGGGACCACCCGCAGTAGATTCATCCAGCGGGGCCACTTGAGTGGAACGCACCATGAAGCTCAAATGCTTACCTATGGCCGCGGACACAACCTCATTCTTAACCCAAAAGGTTGGCCACGTATCTACACGTTCACGCCAATGACATCAATTTCTTGACCCAATATGCATTGGCTACGGCGTCCCCACTCCCCTAGCTATCACAGCCCGTTCCTCGGCTTGCCTATTATATCACACCGATGGCTAGCCGCCGGCATCCAAGAATCCCCACTCGCACCAGCCACTTCAGTAGTTACGCAACAAGATCGACAAGAATGTTTACGTGACCACATACGTGGACCCCCAACCCGTTTTCTCTCTATCTGGAGCAGGCTGGGCTGCACTTCGGCCACCTTCCTCACCTCCCGAGGATACGCCCCTTTATCTCTGGAGTGGGTTGAGCTACACTGGCACCATCTGCGCCATCTTCCGACGGTTCGGTAGATGCCGGGGCTTGAGCATCCACGACGTCTATGGCGCTTGGAGTGGGCCCGCCAGAAAACATGGGTGGAAGAACGACCAATTGTGTCCTTTCTGGGTGCACTTCGTTTAACCATGGTTCCTGGCGGTCGGAAGTGTACATGTACACCCTTGCCTCGCCCCTCATTTTTTTTGGGATGTTGTATGTGTGGGCGGGGCACACATCTCCAGCTTTCGGTGTTCCAGCTTTCTTCTTAAAAGGGACTGAAAAGGTGGAGGGGGCCGTCGCCGCCGACATGATGACAGTTTCCGACTCTCGGTCTAAACCTACGGTGACTCCCACTATTCCCGGGACCTCTACACCCGCATTGATCGATTTGGTCGCGCTCGTTGAGTACCCCGTCGGAAGCACCTTAAAAACAATTTTTTTATCTGTGGCATTCACGAACTCAAGCTGCCTCTTCTTCGTGCGGCCGCGTGACACTACACAGCTGTCACAACTGGAGTGAAGGCTGAGTTCCGTTCCGAGGCAGACGTCACTGAAGTGTCGAATTTTTACCCGGAGGAAGTACTTCTTGAGCTGATCGTCGAAATCCCAAGCGCCGTCCTCATGAAGCTCCCAAGGCTGGCCTTCTTCCATGCGCCAGAACACCTACGCGTGAGCGACACATGACGGTCTTTCGGAGTAAAAACGTGAGTTGCAGAACCACAGGTACCCATTTCAACCGGCCCTAATCGAAAGCTCTCAGAGCAAGATTGGGCACAAGATACGGATCAAAACTACAGGATTTCGAATATTCCACCAGGTTGCCACCCTCGCCTTATATGTAGCCCTAAGAATGGCCAGGTCTTCTTTCCCATCTTCGGTGTCTTCGTCGGTGTCATCGGTTCCTTGCGAGTCTTCATCTTCCTCTCCAAATACAAAATCCAGAACCAACGGGTTTTGAGGGTCCTGAAAGATTGTGCCCGAGGGCTGGCAATCGATCATAGTTGACAATAGGAACAAGCCATCTCCCCTCTCCACGATGTGCCTCTTGTCCGTGACAACAGAAATGGGTCCCGCCACCTCCCCCTCTTTGAGACAGTCTGGACGCACGACAAGTCGAACGCCGGCATCTGCGTCGAAGTACGTTTCGTCAGTGGTCCAATCGAATTGGTCCACCAGTATTCTGCTCTGATCGCACACTGATAGATCTTTGGAGTTGACCTGTGCGTGCGCGCGTGCGTGCGGGGGCGATGATGAAGCACCGTGGTTGCAGTTGAAAGAGTGCTTCCGAAAAATCGGCCAACTAATTCGTTTGGCCTATGGGGCGGAGTGTGACAAATACGATGGTTGGGGCACAAAGACTGCGGAGATGAGCCCGCTGGAGGAAATTTCGTGGCATACCTGCGCTGTTTCTGCTTCGCAAACAAGTTCTGAACAAATTGAAAGGTCAACATGGCGGGCGGTCCACATACAACTATATAAAATTGGCAGCAACCCTTCTTGAGCATACTCTTAATATGGCAATGTTATTGCTGCGACTAACAAGCTTATTCCCAAGCGCGTGAGCAATCAATGACTCGCGTGTTTGTTTGCAGTCTACCCGGTCATGAACAAGGTGTACGTACGGTGTCCTCCGGTGTGCTGCTTCCTTCGGAAACAAAATCAAATTTAGAGGTTACAGCCTAACGAAATTTGCGGGGAAAATCTGATGGCTCTCACCTGACTCTTCAAGAACACAAGGTGGTTGCGCCACACGGCAAGGTCTGGATGTTTCGGACCCAGGGCTTTCTCTCCGATAGCGATAGCCCTCGAACACAACGCTTCCGCCTCGCTGTACATGCCCTACAACGCGAGGGTACAGCAAGATGAGGCATGGTTTGAGAATTACAATGCGAAGGGATTGCTCAACAACCCCGCCCAGTTGTTGAGAACTCCCGAAGTCTATCAGACACCACAAGAATTTTCCTGGAGTTATTTATGGCTCTCACCTGCTCCGTCAACTACAACCCCCCTACTGTTGAGAAACTATAACAGGTCCTCCCACCACAAGAAAATTCCCAGGAATTTCTGACGGCTGTCACCTGCTTCTCCAACAACACTGCCCGATTGTTGAGACCTATAGCCACGTCGGGGTGATCCGGACCCAGCACCTTCTCGTCTATCGCAAGGGCCCGCCGGTACAACGGATCAGCTTCGTCGTACTTGCCCTAAAACAGGAGGGACGAGCGGGATGGGAGGTGTGGTGATTGCTAGTGGCGTATACTACGGAGGAACAAATGCTCTACAACCCTGCCCGGTTGTTGAGCACTACAGCGTGCATTGAGCACCATGAGAAGCTTCCTGCAGTGATCCTATGGCTCTCACCTGCTTGTGCAACAACGCCGCCCGGTTGTTGAGCGCTGTTGCCACCAATGGGTGCTCAGGACCTAAAGCCCTTTCGAAAATCTCAGTGGCCCGCGCAAATAGAAGCCCAGCTTCCGTGTACTTGCCCTGGATGTAGGTGGGCCGCGTCATAAAGTCGTCTTTCAATGTCAAGTTGGACAAGAAAAGCGGAGGAACACATGCTCAACAACCCCGCCCGGTTGTTAAGCATCTGTATCATTAATTGGGCACCACAATAACTTTCCTGGGGGTCTCTGACAGCTCTAACCTGCTCCTGCAACAACCCCGCCCGATTGTTGAGTCCAGTAGCCACTCGACGGTGATCAGGGCCCAATGCCGTCTCCCAGATGTTAATAGCTCGAACATAGAGTAGGTCGGCTTGCTCGTACTTCCCCTGGAATGTGAGGGAACAGTTCGACAGGGGTTTGATCAAGGCTAGAAAACGCTATTAGTACGGAGGAAAAAACGCTAAACAACCACACCCTGTTGTTGAACATTACAACATCCGAAGATCGCAAGAAAAATCGCAAGAAAAAATTGCAAAATAGATTGTGCTGCGTTGCATCACGCTTCCAATTTTAATTAATTTTTTGCTGCGTTCATTTTTCGTGGATTGGAAAAGGGGCGCAGCAGCCCTGAGATACTCCGCGAGCAATCAATGAGTGAGATGCGGGATAGAACCACATACAACAGCAAGTGATCTGGTGAGGTTGTTGACTACAGCGCAGCCATTTGCCCACGCGGGCCCGGGTGACAACAGGGTAACAACTGGCATCGCATGCATGGATGGGTCGGTGCGAGAAACAAAAAAAGACCAGGCACCTGACGCGCCTGGCGCGGCGCCGAATCAATTCGTGTCTATAATAGTTGAGATATGGGCGAAAACCACACAGCGACGTGTGTGTGATGAGAAACAATTACTTGCCCCGGCAGCATTTCCACTCTCCAAATAACGAAACGAAATTACGTCGTGCGCGCCGGAAACAAAAGAGGCCGAGGGACAGAATAGCAGACCGACCGCCCAGAGAAAGTGCACAGATTTGTCCCACGTACCATGTGTAGAGTGTACCAAAAGCTATCGCCGTTCTGAAGATGAAGGCTCACGATAATGATATCGTCCCATCGGTGATCGGTAAACGCGAAAAAATAAACAACACTGCATGCACCAGGGTGAAACCGAAAATAACCGTTGACTAGTCTGATGATGCAACAGCAAACAACATCCATCCGGCGCCGCATGCATGTTCGAAAAACGTCAACAATCAATCAATTACAATTGTCTAGACTATGTAAATAACGAACTCAAGACGAGACCGAGCAGCAACAAAACGTCCCGCGACGGCACAGGAGGATTGTTTACAAATTACGAACTCAAGATTTTGTCGGACGAGAGGGCGCGAGGTGAGGCAGGTTGACGAGTGGGCTTCCTTGCCGCTGTTGGAAAGCTGACGAAAATCGTGCAGGTTGAGAACGAGACTTTGCAGGGGGCTAGGTTTGGTGTGTGTTGAGGTATCCCCTGCGAGGGATGGCCGTCGGTGCCAGTGCACGCATGCATGCATGGGTCGATGCGAGTAACAAGAGAAAAAACATCCATCCATTCGGCGCCGCATGCAAGATTGTTTGTCTACACGAACTCAAGATTTTGTCCGACGAGAGGGGGCGAAATGAGGCAGCTGGACGCGTCGACTTGCCGCGGTTGGAAAGCAGACGAAAATCGTGAAGGTTGATAAGCAGACTTGGCAGGGAGCTAAGTTTGGTGACGCAATGACACGAACACGCTATGTCTCACGGGCAGTCCCGCAGCAGGTCGTTGACACCCCCCCCCAACCCCCGAAACAAAACTTTCCAGTTTTCCCCCTCATAACTAGTTCTAGTTGCGAGCCCCCCCCCCGCGAATTATTTTTTTTTTCCAGCAAGAACAGCAGGCGCGTGCGCTCGCAGCAGTTATCAAGGATCGAAAGCGTTGCGCCAACATGCGCGCTAGCGGCCCCAAAACCTCACCCGAACACCCTCTGTGAGGTGTAGATAGGCGTACCCGCAAGCTGTTAGGATGTAGACGCCTTTACGCCTCTTGCCGCGGGTGGCAAAACATCATACTCGGTTGGCACCCCACAACAAATCAACAAACGCCCGCACGAAACCTGCACCTAGCAGCAAAACACAACCCCTCTTGCACATTGATTTCAGCTTCCAGACGACCTGTCGAGGTCGCAAAACCGCACGCGCCCAGCCTCCTGTGACGTAGCTGTGAGCGGGGCTGCTTTTTGCAGGTCTCGCTGGTGTGTGGGCTGCGCCACAGGTGCTGGACTGGTGGTGTTCGCCGTAAGAACGGTAGAAAGCACCCCATCCCCTAGCAGATGCTCTAAAAGCACGTTTCTCAGGACGGCCAAAATCGTGGAGGTTGAGAACGAGACTTGGCAGGGAGCAAAGTTTGGTGTGTGTTGAGGCATCTCCTGCGAGGGATGAGCCGTCGGTGCTTGCTGGACAGAGTATGACGAAAACGATAGGGATTCAAGTATGTGGGCGTTTCTGTCACAAAGTCTACGTAACAAAGTCTCCGCAGCACAGTCTCCGAAACGAAATATCCGGAACAGATTTCTTGAGTGGAATCGGGGATTGCGCGAGACACCAACCAAGTATGATTCAAAATTGGAATTCTGGCTCTCACCTGCTTGTGCCACAACGCCGCCCGGTTGTTGAGCGACTGGGCCAACTCAGGATGCTCTGGACCCAGCACCTTCTCTTGAATGACCTGCGACCGCTCATAGAGCGACTCAGCTTCCGCGTATTTGCCCTGCGTGCACGGGAGCACACGTAAGTAGTGGTAAGTAGGCGTTTATCTCAGTGACGTCGATAAGAGAAAAATGTAAGAGAATGTTCTCAACAACCCCACCCGATTGTTGAGCGTTGTGGCCACATCCGGGTGGTTAGGACCTCGAACCTTCTCGTCTATCGCCTGACACCTCTTGTACAGTGCCTCTGCCTCGGCATATTTCCCCTGAAACATGAGTGGAAAACACGACAGATGTTCAAAGCTGTTCAAGTTGAATGCGGAGGAACAAACGCTCGACAACCACGCTAGGTTGTTAAGCTAATAGGGCACATCGGAGTGCTCCGGACCCAGCGCCTTCTTTCGCATAGCCAGTGTGACCGCTCATAAAGTAGCGCGGCCTCAGCATACTTGCCCTGCGAAACAAGGGGTGGGTTGGTGGAAGCGAGCCTTCACAAGAACGAAAAAAAAACACCATTAAGTATAGACCCTACCAAGTTTTATTGACGACTGTCACCTGCGCCTTCAAACAGAGCGCTCGGTTGCAGAGCGTTGTGGCCAAATCCGGGTGTTCAGGGCCAAGAACTTTCTCGTCTATCGCCTGGCATCGCTCATAGAGTGGCTCAGCTTCCTCGTACTTGCCCTGGAAAGGGAGGGAGCGCACGAAACGGGGGTACTGAAGACAAACGTATTACTGCGGAGGAACAAATGCTTTACAACTTGAGCGACTGGGCCACATCGGGGTGCTTCGGATCCAGCGCCTCTTCGCGAATACTGTAGCCTGTGACCGCTCATGTAGTGGCTCGGCCTCCGCGTATTTGCCTTGTGCAAAAAGAGGTGGGTTGGTATAAGCGAGTGGCCAAAAGACGAAAACCTGCTTGACAACAAGTGCATCCTTCTACGAAAGTTCCTGGAACGTTTCATGAGCTCTCACCGGTGCCTCCAACAACCTCGCGCGGTTGTTGAGAATCGCGGCAACGTTGGGATGATCCTGCCCCAAGGATTGTACACCACCATAAACTTCAACGATGTGACAACCTTCCGTACAGAACATTCCAGGAAAAATATTGTGGCTCTCACCTGATGTTCAGCAACACCAATACCCACACGGCACCACGAAAAATGAAATAGGAATTTTCCGACGGCCCTCACCTGCTCGGACAACAACCCCGCTCGGTTGCTGAGCGCTGAAGCGTAGTCGGGGTGTTCTTCGCCCACGGTTGCACCCAGAATTTCCAGGGCTCGCACGTAGAGGGGATCTGCGATTTCGTACTTACCCTGAAATTTGAGGAGGAGACGCGATGGGAGTGTGGTGGAAGACTTTTTAGTTGAGTACATATGCTGCGGAGGAACAAATGCTCAACAACAGCGCTCGGTTGTAGAGCAATGACATTCACACCACGAAAAATTTCTACGAATGTTACTGGTACAACACTCCACAATAGAGAATATCTACAGTAGAACATTTTTGTGGCTCTCCCGTGCTACTTACAACGCCAACACTCACAGAGCACCACTATTTAGAACTGCTGCTTCAACAACGTTCGATTCTTCTTGGAAATTTCCAAAAACTTATGACGGCTCTCACCTTCTTCTGCAACAGCTCAGCTCTGTTGCTGAGGACTGTTCCCACATGTGGGTGCACCGAACCTAAAGACTTCTCGAATATCCCCTGGCATCGCTCAAAGCGCGGCTCGGCCACAGCGTACTTACCCTGTGAAACAAGTAGTGGATCGGTGTAAGCAAGTGGCAAAAAGAACGAACAGTTGCCAACGAAACGTTTCCCGAAGCTCCTTGCTGGTCGTTGAGCCATGGCATTCACACCACAAGAAATTTCTACGAATTCGCCAACCTTCGGCACAGAAATCCCTAGGATATTCTTGCGGCTCTCACATGCTGCTTCAACAACATCAACACCCACAGGGCATCACGAGAACGATTTAGGAAAAATCTGGTGGCTGTCACCTGCTGCTTTGACAACCCCGCCAGATTGTTGAGCGACTCGCCCACATGGAGGTGCTCCGGACCCAGCACCTTCTCTCGTATGGCCAGTGACCGATCATATAGGGGCTCGGCCTCTGCGAGCTTGCCCTGGAACATAGTGAACAGGGCAGCGTAGTCGTGTTTCAGTGAAAGTCAAATCTGAACTACGGAGAAGCAAAGGCTGTGGCTCTCACCTTCTGCTTCAACAACAGCAACATCCACACGGCACCACGAGAAATTTCATAGAAACTCTGACGGCTCTCACCTGGCGGTTCAACAACAGCCCTCGATAGCTGAGCGTGGTGGCCACATCGGGGTGCTCAGCACCTAGAACCTCCTCGAGGATGGCAAGGGAGTTTTTATAGAGTGACTCGGCCTCTGCAAATTTGCCCTGGAATGCGAAGAACAAGGCAGTGTAGTCGTATTTCAACAAAGTCGGATCTCGAACTGTGGAGGAACCTGGGTGGTCAGGGGCCAGCGTCTTCTCCGCAACATTATATATTTCAGAGACAGATGGGAAACGCAGTAGGAAGTGGGGCGGAAGGCTTGTCAAGCTTGTTGCGGATGAACACAAGCTCTACAACCACACGCGGCTAACGCGTGGAGGTATATTACAAATAGTTGGAATGGTCATCGCCGACGGTTGCACCAAGCATTATACAGGCCCCAAGCGTATAGGGTGTCTGTTTCTTCAAACTGCCTTGGAATGAGGGGTAAACGCGATAGGGGTGTGCGCAAGGCCAGTAGAGCCTACTGCGGAGACGACGTGCTTGTGAGAACTCCTACGACTAAGCGAGTTGACACGAGCTGAGAGCGAAGCTCGACCGCACGTCATGCCTTGAATCTATTATCTGGCTCTCCAAGGACCTCGGGCCTGATTACTGACGAAATGGGTTCACCTTGGCCCCCAACTCCCACACCTGATCGTCCTACGCGAACAGTGGGTTGGCGTACGCTAGGACCAGCGATAGCAGTACACCCCTCGTAAACAACAAATAAATGTTTACAACCCTGTTCTCTATTCTTGAAACCCAGTATCCAAGACATGAATGTCGCGGCATCCAGGCCAAGACGAACCCAGGCTTTTACGCAGTCCAGCGACAATTATCGGCGAATCCTCGAAATGTCTAGTGGTCCAGCTGCGTGCGCCCCACCTGTTGCTGTAGAACAAAGCCGAGAGTTCCCTTGGCTGTTTGTAAGGTGAGCAATGCCTGTCTCGATTCCTTCGTGTCACTGCTGTCCTCAAAACGCGACAATGCTTCTTCGGCCTCCAAGAGTAGCTTGTAAGAAATCGTACGCACGGGTGGCTACTACATGTCAGCATACGCACGTTATATGATACATGAACAAGGCAGATGTCTGACGCAAATGGGTCTACTGAAGCGGTGCCCCAACAACCACAATACGGGCACCCACAAGACACGGCACCAACCATTGTATATTCCAAAGCGCACTACCTGTCTGAGGCCCTTCTCGGCCTCTTCGTACTGTCCAGCAGCGAGCTGTATCTCCGGAAGCCAGTGCCAAGTTCCACACCAGTTCTGCCGAGCCAGGTGGATCATCTCCTCCATAACCAGGCGAGATACATTCTTGAACAGATCTGTAGCTTGCATCTTCGTGACGACGTTGAGGTCCCGCGCCCACGTGTATACGGCGTGTTGGCCGCTTTTCAATGTAAAGAAGTTGCGGAGCTGCAGCTGAATCTCACAAAGGTGCTCGTTCACGACGGGGTTCACTTTCACGTCCCGATAACCGCCAGGCGTCCAGTCGGAGTCGAAGCCGTTTTTGACCCGCAGAACATCTTGCGGCTACAGAGCACGTTCCACAAGAGCAGCAAAAACAGGTTTGATTGAGGCCTCAAAACATGGAAATTTCAGACCGCACTCCCTGCCTCTGTGCACAAGATGGTAGCGAAGGACAGGAGAAGTAGCTCGGCGAAGCATGCAGCGATATGCACGGTGAGCAAACAAATTTGAAAAGCAACGGAAGACGGTGGGCACCGTGGGAAAACGACCTATGAAAACGGTTCCAGTACCCACACATTGCGTATCACGACATGTACCGGACGGTTAACGGTAATGGGGAAAGTGATGATGTGGCAGGTTTCACAATTCCGCAACAGGCAACGATCGACATCCGGCTACCCTAAGCATTGCGGTCGTTTTCCACGACCACCAGCATTGGACACCATATAACCTGATGGGCCCCTTCGCTTTTCCGAAATTGCCTCAAGCACCAACACTTCAAGACTTCACGCATGAAGGGCGAATTTCTATCACCCAGCGGATTTGAGATCGTGTATCCTGCAAATTCTGCTCACCTGGAGCAATCCCATGATTTTGGAGAACACCTGCTTCAAGGCCTCCGGTGTGTCACAGATCACAGTAACCCTAGCCATGTCAGCAACCTTTCGGACGTCACCACCACAGAACTGGCTGGCCTTCCGTCGCGTGCTTTCCAGAGACTTGACAACCACGCAGTGGACATTGCACGTTTCCAAGCCTTCCGCCGCATTCGTCACAAGCTCGTCCAAACGCTTCTTTGCAAGCTCAGCGTCAGCAAGATAGAACCTAAGCTGTTTTGCAAGTCGATCGTCCGCATTACTGTAGTCTTGCAGGTTCAAGACCTTGGGCTGGAGAGGGTCGCCCGTGTCTACCGGGGCGATGTTGCGAAGACACTCAAGGCCTCCTTCCTTGTTGAGCTCGTAGTACAGTGCGTCGTACGCTGCTTCGTATTGAAGTACTGTCTGGACTTGAAGATACTTTAGCATATTCACCTTGGCGTCTAGACCAACCGAATACGATGCATTTTCACGTTGGCTCTTCAGCTCGTTTTCCTCATGGAGAAGCTTCTCGATGTCGACGTCCATCTACGGCACAAGACAACCGGTAGAACATACAAGGTTTTCGGCGGCGTGAACGCGGTGGTCCGCAAGCAGCAGGTCTGGGAAACAAAAGACAACTGCTACAATTGACACCGCATTGTAAAACACGGAGGCAGACCGCAACCAAATCGGTGGGAAAAAAGAAAAGGCTCGTCTACATGGAACAGCGTCAGTGGAAAATAAAGAAAAAGGTGGGAAGGCATCCGAACCAGCTTGCCAGGCCACGCGCAAAACATCTCTGGGGAGGAGGCATGCCCATCTCGCGAACTTACCCGCTTGCGCGCCGTGTGCACACGACAATGCGCGACCCGGACACAGGCTTCTGGAAAGGACCGTCTGGGAAAAAAGAAATTATTTTGATGGGAGAATCTGTCCGCACTCCCTCAACTGATAGGACGCTCGATACGCAGGTACACGACCGATAGATGCGCGGTGGCGCTGGGACCCGTCGGCCTTGAGCACGAAGCGCACACTGACTTACTCGTGTTGATTGCCTGCGTTGTGAGCCAACTGTGGCAAAGATGGTGGGTGGGTGGGTGGGTCAGTGGGTGGGCCGGTGGCCCCGTACATTCTTTTGGATGGAAACATACCCCCATACACTCCACGGGCATGTGCACGTTTTCGGCCCAAACGCCCTGACGCCCTAACTTGGAGCAGAGCGTTCGCACGGGAAAGGCAAGAAGAGAGGAAGGAGGTTTCGACGGTAGACGTCTGTGAGAGTGGACCTGTGGAACTTCGGTGAGCGAGCACGGCTTCCGGCGGAATGATCAAAGGTGTGTGTGTATGTTCGATTGCTCTGCGTTCGTTAATCCCGCCGCTCTTTGATGCATTCACGCCCGAGTTACCTTTGATATCGTGCGATGACACCAGCATACAGCTTAAACGAGGCACCACGACTTATGTGTACATGGTTTTTGTCTACCCTCCGCTTCCTGTGCTTCCGTATCATGTGCCTTTGCCAAACTCTCAAAGCTCGCCTTGTGGTTTAAGCTCACCATAAATTATTCGTTGAATAACACCCCTTGCCTTGTGATTGTATCTGCATGGGGGCCAGGGAATTAGGCAAATGAGGTGTGAAGCACAGCTAATTTTGTTACAGTGATGTTTTAGGGTAGTATACGAGTGTTCTCCCTCGGTTTCGTGACAAAATCCAAAGAGGTGGCTTCAAAAACGAAAAATATGTCATCGGGGAGCTGGCCTGCAGCATTGGCGCGCCATACCGAGCTCACGACGTATTTTGGCCTCCCGAACGGTGTCGATGAACGTTTTATCTCATTTTTTTTCATGAAATTGCTCAGGACACCTATACCAAAGTCAGATGCATCGGAATAACGTATAATCCTCCGCGTTCCCGACATATCGGAGCTCCACTTCACTTTTTTGACCCCCGAGAATACCCTTTTCCGAGGGGTGCTTCTCAACCCAGAAGTAGCCCGTAGTCACGTGCACGGCTAGGAGCCCACGGTTGGTTGTTTGCATTGGCAGGACCCGCGAATAAAAGGTGTAGACTGTATCAAGCGTTGTGCAAAAAAAAATTCCTGTGCGTTACATCCACGCCAACTTGTCTACATGCATGTGTGTTGCAGCAAAACACCGCCAACTTTACCGTGGGGACCCCACCCCTGAAGTACCCTCCACTCGCGTGCCGACCACTAGTCTACGCTTGGTTGTTTGCTTTGGCGGGGGCCGTGAATTAAAGGTCTAGGCCATACCTAGGTCGCCGTTGCTACATGTTACTTTCACGCCAAGATCTGTACATGAACGTGGATTGATCCAAACCCTGTAGGAATCACGAAAGATAACACCCCCCTCAATCACCCGTACTTTCGAGCACGGTTACCAGCCCACGCGCGGTTGTGTGCATCAGCGAGGGCCGCAAATTGGAATAGACCATAGCTAGGTGTGAGCAAACCATCTCTGCTTGTTGTGTCCACGCCGATAAAAATTCATGTACGTGGATAAACCGGTCCAGCTCGGCACACAGCCACGTTACTGACCACCATCAAGCCCGGTTTCCAGGTGCATTGGTCGGGTGCCTTCGCGGGGTTGCGTTGCTTTAGACGGCGTGGGTGCTTTCCTTGATTTCTCTCGCCTTTTGCCCTCTGAAACGCCACCCTGGTGTTGTTCCATGCCACAGATCTCTCTGGGCTATCTTGCCGTAGGCATTATACAAAGGTGTTTCTTTTCAGTGGTGGTTATCTTAGCCTTGCCCGTGACCTTTGTTTTCCCACGACCCCCTCGTTCATCTTGCTTCGCGCCCTTGCTGCCTTTACACGCCGTACAAACGCGCTCTACCAGACCACCGGAGGAAGGGCGGGGCAGGCGGCTTCAAGGGAGGGGAGAGATGGAGAGGGCTGGGGGAATGCTACCGAAATGACGCAACCTCGGGTCGGAGTCAAGGTAGGAGTCACTATTCTCGGCCGAAAATGATTGAACCCGGAGGCGGAGTCGGGGTAGGAGTCTACTGTTCTCGGCCGAAAATGATTGAACACGGTAAAGGTGTCACATGCACCTCCCAGGCTTGGATTTTCAGAGCCATTTTCATAACCATAAAAAAATGCCGGGACTTCTTGGTTGAAGTGTTGGCTGGCACATGGTGATGACGTGTCGAGTTGAAACAAAAGGCATTTCAAAAGTACACTCCTTACATCGGACGCGTGTATGCCCGGAAAAGTAGTCCTTGCTCACGTGTATCCATGGTCTCTATCTCAAGAGTCTCGACTTGACCGATAAACGTAAAAAAACACATCCCAAAAGCTTTGAAATTTTGACGGTTTTGCCCCGAAGAACGACCGGGATTCACGCGCATCCGAGATGGGCAATACAAAAAGTCTTGACTTGATCAAGTCGAGACTTTTTTTGGTGCATTGTACCCCGAGCGCATTCACTAGGTGAAAGTCATCTGGTTGTCGCCCTTTTTTGAGCACAAAAGTCTCGACTTGAGGCTCCGCGCGCGCTCGAGCATCGACCCAAATCGAAAACTTTTTTTTGTGAAAGCAGTAAATGCTTTCGGCTGGCCTAAAAGTTTGGCCCATCCCAGAAGAGGACGAAATGCGCCGTCCATGTTAGGCGTTGGGTGGTGGAGTTGTCGGAAATGTGACGAAGGGGTAACTCGTGGTTGGAGTCAACAGCGAGGTCACTGGATCGGGAAACAAATGGTCCCACCCGGAAGATAAACAATGGTCGAACCCGTGAAAGGAGTCAACAGCGAGGTCACCGTCTTGGAAAAAAGATGGCCGAACTCGTGGTAGGAGTCAACAGCGAGGTCACTGGATCGGGGAACAAATGGTCCCAACCGGAAGAGAATAAATTAGTCAAACCTGTGGCAGGAGTCAACAGCGAGGTCACTCTCTTGGAAAAGAAATGGTCCCCCCCGGAAGAAAGAAAAGTGGTCGAAGTCGCGGTAGGAGTCAACAGCGAGGTCCCTGTCTTGGAAAAAAAAATGGCTGAACCCGTGGTAGGAGTCAACAGCGAGGTCACTGGATCAGCGAGGTCACTGGATCGGGGAACAAATGGTCCCACCCGGAAGAAAAATAATTAGTCGAACCCGTGGTAGAAGTCAACTGCGAGGTCACTGGATCGGGGAATAAAAGACCGAACCCGTGGTAGGAGTCAACGGCGAGGTCACTGTCTTGGAAAAAATGGCCGAACCCGTGGTAGGAGCCAACAGCGAGGTCACTGGGTCGGGGAAAAGTAGTCCCTCCCGGAAGAGAAAAAGTGGTCGAACCCGTAGTAGGAGTCAACAGCGAGGTCACTGTCTTGGAAACAAAATAGTCCCACTCGGAAGACGAAAAAAAGGTCGAACCCGTTGTAGGAGTCAGCGGTTCTGGGCCGAATATGACCCAATCCGGGAATGGTTTCAGGGCACGCACCCAAGAAGGACGAAATGTGTCGTCCATTTTGGGCTTTGGGTGTTGGAGTGGTCGCCAACATCATGTACGAACGTAGGTGAAGTGGGCGGCAAAGTCGTTTCAGGTTGTGCTTTTATTCGTAGACTCAAGCGTCAAACCCGAACCTAGATACACTCCCGATTCGCACATTTTTTTCCTGACCTTCGTGTACGCAAGGTCGCCTGGCGCTAGGTCAACACGATCGTTTCAATCAGCGCACCGGGGGGGTGGCATCTTATCGCGCTGGAGTCAATGAGGGAGGTGGCAGAGATGAGAAGGGGGAAATGAGAGCAGGGAGGACGCCGAGAGCACCGAAGACGCCGGGAGCACCGAGGACAGTGAGGTAAGAGCCCAAGCCCTGTAGCCTTCTGCGAATACCTCATCTCGTCAGTGCTTTTACACCAGCTTGCCCGCCAAGTATCCCGACTCTGACATCCCCGAACTGTTCTGCGCCGAAAAAGCGTTTTTCCGTTGGACTTTCGTTGTAGCCCCGCAGACAAAGTTGCCGATGAACCATAGAGTGTTTGGATTGGTGCCCGACTCGGAAGACAGCTAGGGTGTTGACCCTGGCCGGTATCGATGGAGAAAGTTAACCACGTATATTCCATCAGCCCTCAATTCTCAGTTGGGCACGTGCACGTGACCCTCTGTGAAGGGGTTCATCACTTGTACCCCCCTGCACATACCTCACATGCTACCCATACACGTAACCCCTCAGCTGATTTTTTTTTCAGCCAAATTTTTGTTGAGCCAGCGATGTACCGAGGTTTTTGAAAAAAAAAAAAAAGTCGTCAATGTCGAACGCGCGAGAAAACGCGATAAAGGGTGGCACCAGTAATTTGGTGACGGTATCATTTCTTCGAGCCGGTGAATGGGAGATCAGCATCGACGTTTTCGACTTATTCAGACGAGGGGCCACCCTTGCAAAAGATCCAGACCAAATATACTCCACCACAAATTGCACGCCCTGAAACACGGTTTGACGTGGAACGGATTTGTTTCAACTACGTCGGGTGCCACCCTTCAAATAGTCGCAAGGGTGGCACCATGGCAACCACCACCTCAACATCTAAGAAAAACAAGAAAAAGAAGAGGAAAAAGAAAACGGCCTACGTCGAAGCACTGCTACACTGAGTGTTCGAAGTCAGCATGCTACGAATAAATGACGATGTGCTCAACGGCGTACAACAATTTCTACAATCAACTTGCTGCTTTCAACAGCGGGATAGGTATTCCGAGGTTAAACAAACACTAAAAGCTGGACCCTTGAGGAAACAACTTTGGTCGGCTCAAAATCGAGCGCTACTACGACAAAGGCAGCGCTTTCCTAGGAGCTGGTTGTTTCGCCTCATCATGTTTGACCTGGTAGAAAGTGTTGTCAAACGTTGTCAGGCCGTTCCTGCACTTGAAGTAAATATGCAGCCTACCGTTTATCTCCTCAAACGAGCTTCCGGAGTGCACCAGGCAGACGTGAGAAAGAAGACCATACCCTGGGGGGATAATCAGCTCAACCATGTCACCCCAGTCACACTCGTCTTTAAGGAAATCCTTGTGGCTCGCCTCTTGGACGTGCAGATACACAGGGTCTCGAAAAACACACAGTCCGGTGTACGGCGCCGGCTCAGGTCTTCCTCGCGTCCCTGACCCTGAACCCACAAGCCTTTTCTGCACGTCCTTCCCGTCTTGATCCTTGTGAAGCACTTGACTGGCCTCGCCGGCCGCGCTAAGCAGAAGAGTTAGCTTCTCGGCATCTACCACGTTATCGATTGAGTAGACGAGAGCTTATAACACGAAGCCCATGGTTTGGACGGCCGTCTCCGCGCTCTGCATGAATTTCTGCCCGAGGTTCTTCTGGTGCGATGCGTCTTCCAGGTTCACCATCCATCTCTCCTGGTCATTGATCTTGCGGAGCCCTTTCGAATATGAGACCCGGAGTCGCCCGTCCTCGCTCGTCTCTGTGAAATACTTCGCCTCGTGCCTCTGCCATTTTCCATGCATAAAAAAGGACACGTTCTTTTTACCAGCAATGTGTGCTGTGGGACAAAACACCTGACATCATGAAAATTCAAATACCTTGCCCGCAAAACTCGACCAGGTGCAGTTTAAATTTCCAGCAAGGAACCACATCATTGATTCTAGAAGAATACTTCAGAACGGGAAAAGTGTTCACTATTTTTGGTCATCAACAATGGTCTGGAATCTTACCCTGTTATCGATCATAACACCTACGGAATACACTTCGAAACATGTAGCATGATGTTTACCACACGGAATATGTAATGCTTAGCCGATTGGTTGTCATAAGGAAACGAAGCTTCATTCCGAAGTTCCTACTGAAGTAGCCGGCACAGGAGAGATGTTCGGATCGAAAATTGGATCATAAGAGCGCTTGATCTCCACAGTCATTTGAGTCTACCTGGGATGAAGGATGAAATCTTGATAGATTAGATTGTCGTGTACAGTCGTGTTTTTCTCGGAATTTCCAATTTGATAGCTGTAGAGGCTTCCAAACATAGGGCAACCTAATTGTCCTAGGCGATATGGTTCGCAAAGATATGTGGTTCTGTGGTAGAGAGTTTTGTAGCGTCTGCCATTGTTTACCACATTGAACGTAGGAGGTCTAACCCATTCGTAAAGCGGTGGCGTTTGAGCTACAAGCAGAAGCTGGCCTCGAGGCGGCAAAGTATACCTTATATATCACCCGGGTGTTATTTACCGTATGAAACCAAAAAAATTCAAGGACGAGAAAACGAGGTACACCGATCTAAAGGAAGGAGTGATAGAGTAAAAAGGACTGCTGTCTGTCAGACAAAAAAGGTTGCGCACTTCAAGAGAAGCTCATGTATTGTAGCTAAGCCTTAATTGGTGTCGTCGTCGGCGCTAGCTTTTAGGATCAGGGGACACGTCATCACGAAACGCCAAGCTTGTCTCACCTTTCTGACAGCACGTGATCGGTTCGTGCTTTCCCGTCGCGCTATGCTGCTCAGCACCCCCCGGAGCAGCTCGCGTGCCTTTTCAGAGGGAGACTTGTCGCCGTGCATCTTGAGACTGTCGCGCATACTCGTCCACAAACGAGGGTCGACCCTGGTCACATCAGGGCATCGCGCAAGAGAGGGGTCATTTTCGATCGCCTGTCTGAAGGTAGCCTTGACAGCTTCTACTCTCTCCGGTGCAAGCGGTCCTTCTTCTACTAATGTAGCTGCTTAGCTCCGCCGTTACGCCATCGGCATCCTCGGTCGCCGCTGGTGGCATTTCGTTGGCAGGTGCTGAGAGATCAGTTGCATCCCGTTTCAACGCGTTGCAACGCGTTGCAACATGCGGGCTTAATTGGACCAATCACAAAGAGTGTTGCAACGTGTTGCATCCCGTTGCAACGCGTTGCAACATGCGGACTAAATTGGACCAATCACAATAAGCGTGCCCCCGGGGGGCAAAAGCAGTGCAGAGAGCAGACCCCAGTAGCACAACACGTTGAGTCCCAAGGCACGCTACGCTATTTACCCCTGTATTGTTGCTGCCCCTTCTGCTGCTGTGCTGCTGCTGTGCCGCTGCTGTGCTACTGCTGTGCAACTTCTGTGCTTCTTCTCCCTGAATATTTTCCGCGAAACGGAGAAAAAATATCGCCGCTTTCTTGTCGCACACGCATCACCACAGCAGACCACGTTTTTCCTCTTTTTCGCCACCTGTGGTTGCACCTACCGTCTCATCGAGCCTCACAGAGCCTCGCAGAGGGCTTCGTCCTGACATTTCACTAGACTAGTTGTGTCAGAAGGGAAGAATCGCCCCCTGGCATGTCCTATTCGAGATGCTGTGATGAATCCTGGCAGACGACGGCCTGCTGCTTTTCCCCCCGTTATCTATTAAGATCAACCTCTGTTAAAGTTTCGGCCGAGGCGGGTGTTATCATTTTTTCCTCTAGCAGGGTCAAGCTACGGATGGTCGCTACATAGGTTTTAGCGTAGGGGTTCTTGATACTAGAGCTCACAAACGGTGCTCAAGTTCTTCCGTTTTATTTTTTTTGAACGCTCAATAAAGTGCGGGCGTGTTCTGTATGTTACAGTTGCTGCACGTTCATACAACAATCTTTGCCTTTATCCCCACGCGTGTTGTACAGGATACGAACACAACGAACGACAGCAAGACCCACATCATGTCCCTGCCAGCCAGCATTGTGTTGCCCAACACTCCGGAGGGCGGGACCGTGCGTAGGTACGTTTGGACAGTCCGACGCGTCTTACTTGGCCGAGGGAGCGGCTCCGATTTTCTTCAAAGGATATGGTGTTCAACGGGCTCCTGTTCAAGCTCAAGGGTGCAGCCAACATTGTGCCGTTGTTTGCCGATTTCGTGGCGAACAAGATCAAGGGAGTCAGGTGAAACGGACAGACCCGTCCCTCAGGCATGTATTGTATGTGCATAGTCTGCGTAGCCTACAGTACTGTAGCATCCGATCTTTTGTTGAGGTCATTGATGGTATCCTGATGGAGGCGTGGCGAGGATCCGCTGCGAGGAAATGCGCTCGTAGACCAACTAGACTATGTAGACTAGTCTAGTAGTGTTGGAATTTCAGTGATGAATGTAAGGGAACGGAAGCTCCAACTTGGACATTTGGTGCAAGCGTATACCATTGCGGTGAACACTAGCACATGAGCGAGACAATGGAAGCGACACCGCAGTCGAATTTACAGCCGTTCATTCGAGAAATCAATGTCATTGGCGGTTCGTGGAAAATCGCAAGTGGGACCAACCGTGACTTACAGCCTTGTGTTGCGAAAACCTGTTGATTACCGACATGAGTCATGATCATCAACATAAGGCATTGTTCCGACGAGGGTATCCCGTTCCACGCACCACCCCAAACCAGATTCGAGGCGATTGCCGAAGCTGGTTCAAAGACGAAATACTTGGTTCTCTACTACGTCCGACTTGAGGGCCAAGAGTCCGAGATGTCGTTGGTGGATCTGCTCACGCAGGACGGCGAGGGCTTAATCTGCCGCCTCGAGAACTGCTTCGACACCACCAAGTACCCGCAGGAGATCATCGACGCCGGCGCCCCCACGCTGGCGGGGTTCGAGGGCTAGACTAGCGGAACAGGCAGAGAGATGGCCACCCATCTACTGTAGACTGTTGTCAAAGCACGATTTCTCCACGACCGATCTTGTGCCGACACCAACAATTGGGGGTTGTGCAACAAGGGCTTTCCGTGCTGTACACGTACAAGGCTCTTTCCGCACCCCCTTGTTAGTGGAGAAATCGAGCTTGGCAGTCGGTGCCATCTCCCCCGGCCTCCATGTAGATAAGCTTTCGATGTGAAGCATGTGCTATTGAACGTGACTCGGTAGCAGATATCTTCGCTTAAACCCTTGAGTATGCCAAGATGAAGAAAGGTTCCTCCCCCTATGTCTCGTTGACGATATACTGCAGTACATGTTCAATGCCGAGTGTGGCGTTGTTTGTTTGCTACGTAGCGCGATGGAACAATGGTTTCGAAGTTCGAGATATCCTCGACACTTATCCGACGAAGAACGCGTGGTTGGTTCGATTCCCGTGAGTGGCGTGCGTCAGACGATGACGCCCCGCTGCCGTGTCTTGGTTTTCCTTCCCCCACGTAGGGGAAAAATCCGTTCTGTGTTCCGTATCGGTCTCTTGGTGGTTCATGTGGGTTGCATTGGATCAATAGGAGCCGAAATCAAACCATCAGGCTAGTCAGCCAAAAGGTTTGATTTCGGATTAAAAAAATGAAAGTCGTGGGGTCCGAGCTGACTACAGTCTAATGGTTTGACTTCAACTTCCTACATGCATCCATTCGAAACAATGTGCTCTCTCATCATTGATACGGTGTTCGGTGTTGTGCGTGTTTCGGGAAATTAGGAGGGGGCCGTCTGGGCAACCTTGGCACACTAGAAATTGTTGAAACCGTGCCAGACCCCTCTTGCTCAAAAGGAAGAGGTGTTTCATTTTGTTTGTCTCGTCAAGGCAACAGCTAAAACGCGAGTGTGGAACATAGATCGGGTTTGTTGTGCGTTTGTTCGTGCCATCGCGGAAAAGTAGAGTGTGTGTTTTTGTTCCTTGTGGTGTAGGGGTTGCGGGGCTCGAGAGTGAATAGTCAAGAGTACGAGAAGAGGCGGTTGAGAACCTTCACCAGGGCGAAGCAATGTGAGCTGGGTTGGCTCGTGCGTTGACGTGCCGCTACCGCGGCTGGTAGAGGAGAACCGTGTATTTGTCGTCGATTCCTTCGTTGAAAGGCAACGCATGCTTCTCTGTGTCCGTTGAGGGTTGTTCCTCCGATGTGTGTGTGTACTTTGTTCGGTTGCAACAGCTTGCCAGTCGACCCATCATGCAGTTCAGTGGTGGAAGCCATTTTTGGCGCAGACCAATAATCACCCAAAGTATTTTCTCCCCCTATCCCGAGCGTACGCCAACTTCCTCGATATGTGTCACGACAAGGAGGCAACTAGTGCATGCAGTGATTGCTGCGCCATCATACTTCGTCACCTTGTCATTGTTCGGATGAAGACGCCATGGTGTGGTGAGCAGGCTTGCCAATAGGCGTATCGTAGTCGCGAAAGGAATTATGAATACGGACTACGGTACTTCGAAACTATTGTCGCCACGCTGTATGTACGTACATGGTATGGAAAATGTGTTCGATTCAGATAACCTGCAGCGAGAACATCGTTTGTGTATTCGTGAAAGCACGTACTCGCGTACATCCGCAAAACACGGCATGCAGTTTCCAAGGAGACGATGGGTGAACGACGCGACCCAATCCTGTGTTGCCATGCACAATCACAGAGTAGATGCGGGCTCAGGTCACTATTCACTATTACCACACCAAATTTCATTCGCTTCCATTGACAAGTCCGTATTCGCCAATATTTTTCACTGCTACATAACCGAACTTTACTGATATCAGAAAACGTTCCCGCTTTCAGATGGCATGTCGCGAAATTCATAATTTTGCCCCCGAAGTTCGTTCGAACGGCCAAGATTTCCGAATTTCATTCGTTGCTGTTGAAAGCGAACATTTTCCCAAGAATCAAACACTGCCATCCATTTGTACGGGAAATTCACTCGGTGAGAGAGACGTAAATTTGCGCCGACAAGATGATGGTTTGTGCTCTGATGTGAATGAAGCGACAACCGCCCAATGACATTTCCAACCCATCACGCCCAAACGCCTCAACGAACCGGAAGAGTTCCTAGTGGTCGACTGGCTTTGGTTTATCACATGCTCGCACTCGCAGGAATGAACAATATTTCATTCTCTGCATGTAAAATAGCATCATCATCTGCAAGGTCGAAGCAACCGCTTCGTGGCCACTTGAACAACGAAACATTGGAGAAACATGACGACAGACCGATTCATACTCGAAATCGTAGTCTGGATCTTCACCAACATCGAGTGGCCCACCCCCCAGCGGCTTTGAAGACAGACGCCGATAACAAGACCCACCACACACGCACCTCCTCTCTGACGCTCAATGTAATGGTTACCATCACTCACCCATCTCTCACTCCGCTATACCTGTGTAACCACTCCAAATGCACAGCTTCTACGAAAACGTGGCCAATCACCCCCACCTTTGGTTTACCAGCGAGATCTCCGTCACGCCGGCGTTAAATACGTTTAAAAGAGGGGAAGCTCACAACCCCGGGATCTGAATGGTGAAAGAACGTGCTGCGCTCAGGTGAACAAGAAAAAAAATCTACTACTGCACACAATGTACTCGGAGTGCATCGTCGCCAATGGACTGCTCCACAGAGGATAACAGAAACTGGTCTCTGGGGGAAACATGAGGTGCATCATGACTGGCACCTTCCGGATACCCGCCGCGCTTACATCACCAACGTCTCTAGCCGTACGAGAAGATACAGCCATTGGAAAAAAAATCATTCGTGGCTGTCGATAGAGTGACTACAGCAGTAGATACAGCCCTTGTGAAAAAAATCATTCGTGGCTGTCGATAGGGGGACTGTAGTAGAATTATCAAAGGCCGGTCAATTTGTATCCGATAGGATACAGCAACAGGCGCTGTACAGTAGTACTGTAGGAACATCCGAAACAAGCCCACGCAGGAAATAACATAGCTAGCAACGCCCCGATCTAACCTCTTATGTATGTACAGCACACCCAACGTAGACTAATCCCCTTGATATGCAAAAATTGATGCCGTGCTCGGAGTGAAAGCGTGGGGGGTGATTCCGACCCCACTTTGTACGTAGTACAAACTATCACAGAAGAGACTGAAATCGAAACACACTAGACTACAATGCTAGTCAGCGCTGAATAATCACCCACATATGTCGCCTTTATGCGTCAACGGGGCGTGGGTACCTTCCCAAGGAAAGAAACTACGGTAGTTTCTATCTAGACTAGTCTACATAGACTAATATATATCAATCCGTGATCACCTGAAGATAGATGTTGCTGCTGTCTCCACGAGAATTGTACTTGTGGCGGCCGGAATCATCGTAGTTCCTGACACACGCTGCTCTCCGCCACATTGTTCCCGCACTCGTTACCTTAGGGGGTCAGGACGTCAGGACGTTGTCATTTACGACAATGTCGGTCGCCTCGTCAGGGGTCCCGTACATCCACTGCTGTTGGTGGAATGTGGTCGCGGTTGTGGACAACAAATGTACAAGGTGTGCCGCGGCCAATGTGACCAGGCATTCTACATGATAGCCGACCTTTGTGCGGGACCACCACTGTACTCCCGCAGGCATTTCGTTGTTATTGACTCGCTATGTTTTACCCACCGTACCCTCTCCTTTTCCAACATGTCTGTTAAGATCTTGGTGATTCTTGATATTGATCATCGAAGGGGGTATAGCTCAGTGGTTAGAGTGTTCCGTTTGCATCGGAAATGTCGGGGGTTCAAATCCCCCTTCCTCCACCCTTTTTACCCTGTCTTTCCTGCTTCTCTATTTTTTCTCGTTTGGCCGAAAACAGGAGCAGTAGTGAGCCGGCAGAGCTCACGTTTGGGAGGGGACAGAGAAGTACCGAAGTACAAGTGCTCGCTATGGGTCTAATGTCATCATTTTCATTGATCATTTGGATTTATACTGAAAATAGAGTTGTTTAGGCAGGTTGACGACTGATCATTTCAAGGTGAGAAAGCCTAACCTGCCCTACCGGCTGCACCACGACCACCCACCAACCCTGTGTTCGGTCAACATCCTGTCGCGGGCTACCCTAATGGCCTACAGGTGGAGATAGCTGTGGCGTGAGGAGAAGTACAACAGAGACTTTCTCTGCACTTCTCGCTCTATCCGTCCGCTCTCACCCCTCTTTTTTTTTTTGATTCCAGAAATACAGAAACACTAATCGAAACGGAACATGGGGATGGCGGACCACGCTTGCNAGGAGAAGTACAACAGAGACTTTCTCTGCACTTCTCGCTCTATCCGTCCGCTCTCACCCCTCTTTTTTTTTTTGATTCCAGAAATACAGAAACACTAATCGAAACGGAACATGGGGATGGCGGACCACGCTTGCTCTCGTCTGGCGACTAGTCTAGCCTAGACCCAAAGGTTAATGAATTCAGGTACAACTCTCCCTTCTTCCCCTCGCTCCCCGACAAGCTTTTGCTTAGACATGGGTTGTAGCGAAGGGGG